TCTCTCTCTCTCTCTCTCTCTCTCTCTCTTTCTCTTTTACGGCTAAATCGTTACATCATATGAGTACAATAAGGCAACGGGTTCACTACTAAATAAATAAACGTTAAACGCCTTGCAAGTAAGAGAAGAAGAAAAATTAATTTACAGTATTCTCTCTCTAAGCTATATTTCCGTCGATATCTCGTAAATGTACGTACATGTCGATTTCCTACATTATATCGTCTTCTAACTCGTGTTCACATGTCTTTGCAAATACATACGTGTGCGTCACGTGTACTCTCTACAAGAATATAGCCCGCGAACGGAATTTCTCGCGTGTAGTTTGCACGTAGAACGTTAGCAAAAATATAATTTAGTATATTTTATCATTTATAATTCGTTCATATAAAAACTTCGTTAAAATATATAAAAAGAAACAACGGTTTGAGCAAATACGTGTCCTAAAATCCTATCGTTAAAGTTAAAAGTACCGCGTCGGAAAGCATTCCTTCTTCGCCTTCTTTTTTTTATTGCACATGAATTCCTCTCTCTCTCTTTTTCATTTCCCTTTCCCTTCGCTTCCCCTCGCCTAGTAAAATGTTGTCTCTTCTTTTTCCTTTTCACTTTCCATTCTTGGCGTACCTTTCTCCTACCTCACTCTATCGTCGTTCATACAACTGTTTCATTCGCTCGTTCTTTTTCTCTTTTTTTCTTTTTTCCTTTTCTTTTCTTTTACATACACTCGCTGAACAATCTTCTTCGGCTAGTTCGCTGGATGTAAACAATATTACACGTACCGCGGTACGCAATTGCTTAATTGCTCGTTCTTATTTTTCTACCAGCTGACCATTCTTCATTCGATGACGTGTTCGTCACGCTCGGTGTTTTCGTCCAATTATTCGAGTTCGTCTTCGGGTGATTTCTCTGGTTCTTCTTGGAACGTTGTTTGACTATTTAAAATCGTTCTAAAATATACTCTTTTTTTTTACGATCTAAAATCTAAGAGATACATATATATATATAGATCATCTCGTTAGTTCCACTCGTTGGAACGTACCTATGAATAAACGTAGCACCGCGGGATGAACTTTGCATTTGAATTTCTTTCCGTAAAGTGTACAATATCCAAATCTAATTACGTGTACAATATTGCACAAATTGCTAAAGTATTTCGTACTCCAACGACAGGCTTTCTTTCTAGTTTGCAAAATTTATCGTAGAACGAGACTCGAGTAATTTTCTCTTTTAAGTACGTAGAACGAACGTTTCTCTCGACGAGAAGAAACGTTGATTTTCAGGTAACAAGGAACAGCCTCGAGAGGCCAGCCTTTTTTTTGGAAGACAATCTTTAAAGACAGAGGCACTCGTTTCGTTGATGATGAATGAAGAAAGAGAGAGGGCAACAAAAAAAGAAAAAAAGAAAAGAAAAAGAAGAAAAGAAAAACAATATGTGAAATTCTGTTTCAACTCGTTCCTTCGCCAAATGTGAAACCGATCCGAAAAACACGCTGACACGCTGCTTGCTTACGCGGGGGATCGAACACGTAGCTTCCGGTTGGCCATCTTCCTTCCTGGCGACCGGATATAACCCGAGTAAGCACGCGAACGAGGCGATCTAATCGCTAATTGCCATCCCAATTAATTTGATTATCACGCGGCGTTGGCTCTTTTGTGTTCATCGCGTGTCTATTTCGAATTTATAATTCGGCGGAACGCGAGAACATTAACACTTGTTAGTCATCCTCCACTTGCTGCTTGGCGAAAGCGTATATATCTATCTGCGTATCTGGTGATCGGCGACGCGAAAGTTCCTCGGGGGGAAACGAAATTTCCTGCGCGAAATTGCTGCAGAAATCGTCTTCAGGCACTGGATATCAGGTTCTGAAGGCTTCACTGTTCGACTCGACGACGGTTTCTGACGATTGGAACTCGGAAATTGAACCTCCAAGCGGACAGAGATCGGAGAAGTTTGAACGTAACTCAAATGAAAAATTCGACCATTGTGACTACGCACATGCGTGACAATGCAAACAAAAAAAA